TTCATTCATCTATCTGTCCAGAGGACTAATACCAAAAAAGGACCATCCGATTTCAATACAGTATAATGTGTGTATGATGTGACCAGGAGCAGAACACATCCTCTGACCTAAACAGGAAGTACTAGAGAAGTTGTTGGAAACAGTGATTTCTATGCAGAGAAAAGACAATGAGTAAAAGAGTTATCTAGGTAGGGGAATGAAGGCTAGATGTGTGGTGATCGCCCTATGCTTCACGAAAAGATCCTAAGACTAGAAAAATCATGAAATCACAGCACTTCAAAGAAACTGTAATTATTTCACTGCGGCCGGGCAGTTGGATGCTTTTATTCTGCTGAGGACGAGGAAGGAGAGATCGTGGATCGAAAAATGAGAGCGTTTACACAACAGCTAGAGAAAAGAAGCTAAGAATCTCTACTCAGGGCGATTGCTTCAGCAATTCACCCACCATTAACCATTATCTCCTGTGGCTTAATTGCTACTTCTTAAGCACTCCTCAGACTCACTCACTTGCACCCAGTTATTTTCCTTTCTTGCCTTTGTTTACCATTGTTTACCCTTTGGGACACACTGAGCAGAGTAGTAGTTCTTCATCATCAAACACTGTCTTTTCTTTTTCTTTCTTCCACAAGTTGTATTTCCTTACCTACACCTCTTGTCTAGATCTGTAAACATGTTCACAGTGGCTATGGCCAAGACATCTGAAATTTATACTTTCCCTTTGAACCCATAAAATTTAGCTTCTGCTTCTCTCATTACTCAGGAAACAACATCAGGTTTACTGACATAAAAGTAGAACATGCTCTTTGATATGGATTTTTCCATTCACTTGATGCTCCTTCAGAACAAGTTACTGTTCTAATTCAGGGTAATAAAACCGTGTGTGGTTCTCACAACAGCCACCTTCCCAGCAATATTCACAGGGCCAGCTTGCATCTATAACTTCAGCCAACACACATATTAGGCACAAGGGGCCGGGGGGATCTGGCATAAAAATGCACACTACCTGAAAAACAGTATAAAGGACCTGTTTTAATTATGACAAATGCATTTCTGTTTTTCAAAGACATGAGTAGTTGTATAAACATAGCTTTAAACTTTAATTATCAACAGTAAGTGGAAAGGTTCTGATTTAATAACTAATGATATTCTATAGGTTTCAATTCTGTAACTTCACCCCAGAGGATGTGAAGTTCCAATCTTCCGTATTTCACAGTCACTTAAACTCAATGAGTCAGCGATGGAATTAATTCTCTCTCCTGCTCCCTTCCAGAACTTATTTGTTCCCCAGCACCCCCTCCCAGTAAATGACACCACCTTCCAGACAGCTGTTCAAATCTGATAACTCAGTGTCCCCTCTCATACAATCACTAAATTCTCTTGATTCAATAGTAGCCTCAGCGTACTGTGAATCTGATTCAAGTCAGGAGAACTCTCTCTCCTCATTGCTGGTCCTCTAGTTTGAGACTCCAGCTGTCACTTGTACAAAGGAGTTCAGAAGCCTCCCAACTGAGCTGCTGCCTCTAATCTCTACTCCTCATTTAGCCCTCCAATCTGTACCCCTCATTTCAGTCTGAATGACCATTCTCAAATACAAACTGATCCCTCCAAGCAATCCTCATTCCCGTTCTTGACTAGAAGACACCGCTTCTCCTATTTGGACCATTCTCCCAGCCTCTCATGTGAACATATCTGCACCTTAATTTCAAAACCTATTTCCGTAAACTTTCTCATACTAACCTCAATTTATCAATCACGTTATTCCTAACACCCTACACTAACGCTACCATATTTTGCATTGAGTCTGTGTAATTTTTATGACATTGCACATTCTCACCTTTAAGAAAAAATGTATTACTTTAAATTCCTCCCTATACCCAACAGCTAGTAGATTTCTCTTTCAGCAAGTGTCAACAGGCATTTAAAGGATGAACACATGTATGATTCATCACGAGTACTGGTTTTGGAAGGTGATGGATCTAATTTTAAATCCTAGGTCTAACACAGGCTGTGTAATCCCAAAGTTCTTAATTTCTCTAAATCCACTTTCGACCGTGTCAGGAGACTTGAAGCACCCTGGTATACAACATTCTTGAGTGAGTCACTTAGGCAAAGCCCACCCAAAAGTCATATTAACTTGGTGCAGGCAATGGGAACACACAAGCTGGCAGGTTGGATGCAATCCTCCAGGCCTTCCTCAAGCTCACAAGAGGCCCACTTCATTGCCGGCACATACAGGTGCGCTGGGACTGGGATCCGCGAGAACCCTGCTCATGTCGCACCCTCCCACACTTTTCCTTTTTTTAAGGATTGCGGAAGAATAGCCTTGCATATCTGGAGAAAATCCAGTCTGATCTTGGATCTGGGCTACTCAGGAGAGTTGCAGACAAAATCTTGAGCGGGCTTCTTTTGCTGACCTACAGTTCTTCCTTTTGAGGGCAGGGGACACTGCTGGTCCCAGCTATTTCTGTGCCAGACAACCCAGAGCAAGCCACAGGGGTCATTCAGCAGACCATAAAATGGTAATATCCAAGTACCGACTTCACTGTGTTGTGGAAATGGTAAAAAATAGTACCTGACACATATTAAGTGTTCAGTAAATGATGATTAAATAGTATCATGCTTTAGTAAACTAATATTCTGCAAGGCTAATGGTACGCAGAGGTGGAGAATAAGAGTGTTGACTATGGTGTAATTGAGGAATTAAAGTCAATTTGGTCAAATACATTCCCACAAGGCATTCACACCCAACACATTTTGAGGTTATTTTCGGTCATCTGTGAGAGTATTCTTCCATTAAGTTTATTTTTTTTTCTCTTTTATCCAAAGTTATCTGAAAGCCACTTTACATTGAATCCTGCTGTACCATTTTACCATGTGTTTATGTTTGAGTTTAAAATGTTGGCTCTCACTATTGACCCTTCAACCGTGGGTCCATGAGAAAAGGAGGTTGACTAAGTGCCCGGATGATGTGCTTACTCCAAGAGACAGCAGATGAATTAACAGCAAAAAGAATGTTTCATGGGGTTGCGGGGCGGGTGGGGGGGAATCTGAGTTATCACCCAGCACGCGGCAGCAGAGAACTCAAAGGAGCCTGCACCCCATCAGTCACTTCATAGGGACGTTACTGTGGGAAAACAGCATCAATAGCCTTGTTAAACTAACGCTGAATTTACATGCGAGATCGAAAGTGTATTAAGTGTGTGCTGCTGGGGAAACTGCTTAATACTTCTGAGACTCCATTAGATGGGTGATCTTTAGGATTAAATTAGTACGTCTATAAAAACTATTATCTGACGCAGAATAAGTGCTCAGTAACTGTTTGCTATTATTATACAGTGATAAATAAATATTTTGCAAGGTAGACGCTCTGAATCAGTAACTATAAATATGAATCATTTTGGAGTTTGCTTTGCTGATTGCCCATTGTGTGGCACGGGCTTTATTAAAACTCTACGATCCAAAGACAAATAAGACTGACTGTCCAGATTCTGTGCTCCAGAATCGCAATTTTGGGTGGGACGTTTTTTTTAAGGATGATTTTATTCAAGTGGGATCATTGTAAAGGGAGGAGCTAACACATACCAGGAGCAGCTAAGCTGAACTGCAGAAGCCAAGAAAGCTAGAAGGAAGTCGGGTAGATGATGAGAAGTAAGCTGCCCATGGCTCATCTCTGATTTAACGGCTGGAGGAGGCATGAGAATAAGCTGGGGTTCTGGAGTCTGGCAGGCTTGGCTGCAAACCCAGCTCTGTCACTTCCTGTCTGGGTGGTTGGAACAAGTCAACGTGGAATCCCTAAGCTCTAGCTTCCTCATTTGCAAAGTAGGGGAATGGAACAAGTTACCTGATAATATTTATCCGGACTTTGTTTGGAATTATAGACTAGCTGGTTAATATGGTATTAGACATATAATAAGCACTCAAGAAAAATTTGTTACGTCTAGAATTATAAAAATTAATCCTATTAACATTAGTGCTATTGCTACTAATACTATTATGACAATTCTGCCAACGTGGTTTCTCTGTCTGACACAGGATAGACAACTTCAACAAGCTGCCTGCCCTCTATATGACATGCCTTCCTTTTACATAAATAAAGTGAACCTGAAAAAGGGATGAAATACACGTGAAGAAAGCTTTAGTGGCTAAAAAAAATAAAGGAGGTTTACTAGAGGAATAAGCATGCAGTGGACTGAACAGTCATGGGTTCTCTTCCAGGTTCTTCTGTGGACCAAGCTGTGAGACGCTGGGCAAATTACCGACTCTCTCCAAACCTCAGACTGCTCGTCTGATAATCGTAGATCATGTTAACTAACGACAGGATGGTGTGGCTTGAGGTGGGCTATCAAGAACTCTCAGGTCTCTGTCCCACAAAAAGACATAATAAAATACTTCATTCAGAGGAGACTAAGTGAAACCTGTGGTTTCTATCTTTTATGTGAAAGTATTTCAAACACATCTTACACTTTGGCAGGGGGGTCTTTACCTTTTCTATGAATTTATGCACAGAGCACAGCATATTTATGAGTGAGTTTCGTGGCATATTATTTTTAGGCTGTAGAGAAAAACATTCTGTGGTCTCAAAACAGATGACTGGTTTTACTAAATGGGCCACTGTCTTTTATTAAATTTAGGGTGCCCGAATGGAACATCATCACATATAGTCTATGGGGGGGACATTCTAACATTTAAAAGTTAAGATCTGGTCCAAAATATCAGATTTGGACAAATGGATTCACATATGTCTACAAACATGTACCTCTATCTATCTATCTCTGTAATGATTTGTCTATCTGTAAAATGCTTCCATTTCTGATTTAAAATATAAAAGCTGAACACGTAAGTCAATATTGCCATGTATGGGCACAAATAAAGCTTCCCACAGAAACTGCTCCCGTTTTTATGTCTCTTTACGTAGCTCTTCAATCAATTTCAGCACAGTTTGGCTTTTAAAACATCTCCTTTGATATCTATTCCACTGTGTTGGATAAACAAACACTTACTATATGCACATCCAAACACCTCGATTCGCATTCCAATTCTGCCCCTGGGGTTCCACTCTAAAGGGATGAAGCGCAGAAATCTGGCTTTGATAGAAGGCTGGAGTCTATAGTACACAACACTGTCTGCATTTGCATTTCCTGAAAATCCCTAGAAGAAAAGAGAAAAGAAGGAAATCAATGTACCTGGAGAAGGTCTATTTCACTTTGTCTCCTACAATGTCAACAAGCAATGTATGATTTGCTTTTTTACTATAAAATAGCAACCTTCTTTAAGAAGATCATATTGTTAACAGTTATGCCATAACATATCTTCATCCGCATAAGTTACTATTGTCTAAACCTTTTTCTATCTAGCAGTTTAAATTCCATCACCTGCAGCAAGCCAGCTTTCAACTATGAAACCCCCAGTAAAGTTTGTTTCTATAAGGTGCAGACGAAACATAAAAGTTACGGACATTGTGAACCATGAGAAATATTGAGAACATCTTCTTCCTGTATTCAAAAGCTAGGATCTGATCCAGCATAGAAGTTGCTCACATCATTGATGAATGAGTAAGGTTATGACTTGTTTGTATTGTTTCACTTTATCTTACTCAGTAACATAAATGAAGCTTATCAACAGACATTCAAGTCAGAGCTACACTCTGAGAATAGGTTGTTAAACTTCATTCACCACAAGGCTGGATACACACCTTAAAAACTGTTGTTGCGTGTCACTTTTATTCAATAAAAAATAATAAAATAAAAGCACCTGTATTTAAAAAATTGTTAAGGGAAATTGGAATCAGTAATCATCTGGAAAGACCTGAAATTAGACTTACAGATTTTAGATTTGGAAGCTAGAAAGACCATAGGAATGATGCTGAGCTAGCACCATCAAATTGCAGATGACGAAATTAAACGTCAGAATGATGAAAACAAAATCTCCGGTGTTTGCAAAACTATTATATGGTATGACCAGGAGCTATACTCCTTCCACAATATCAGGATGCATCTACCTAACATATAGCCCACCTGCAAAACCCACACCTAAACAGCTTTTATTTTCTCCTACGTGACATATAGTAAAGCTTCATATGTGAAAAAGTTAGGATGAAGCAGTTGTTCTCAATAATTGATATTTAATTTTTATTTCAGCTTCTCCTCTTCCACCTCTTCCTTCCTTTCCTCCCTCCTTTTCTCCTTCTTGTCTTCCCCTCCTCCTCCTCCTTCTTTTTTTGTTTAACTGTAACAATCAGGATACGTAGGAACTATTGAAATAAGGGATGATGCTACGACCTATTCAGCCGCATGGTAGGTCCCCTTACCATGACTGGATCAACGAATGAGGTCACCCTCACGTAGATCATACCAAACAAAGCAAATGTTTTAGGAACACCAATACCCAGGGAGTTTATTCATTTGCCTACTTTTCTTTCTACTTCACAAATATCTCTTTACCAACATTTACTAAAATATTTTCTAACACAGTAAAAATAAAAAGTAAGGTTGGGTTTTTCAGTCAAATTAATTTGATTTGACTCCTCTTATCAGTCAACTCTACTTCCTGCCCCCCAATGCCCCCCACCCCAGTACCTCATACACCCAATTTTCAGGCTCACACAAAATAGACAGTTCTATGATGGTGCCTCCAAATTATATCCCAAATCTGGGCATCTCCCTTCATCTCAGCTACAACCACCAGGTTCAACAAAGCATTATCTCTCCAGAGCTACTTCAATGGCCTCTTCCTCATGTTTTTAGTCTTCTGTTTCCTATCACCATCCCCATCCCCATCCATATCCCTAAATCTCTTTCCCTCTGAGCAGTCAGTAAGATTTTTAAAGGTAAGACAAACTATGTTACCCCCACTGCTTCCTTTACCACTTAGAAGAAAATCCAAATTCCTTATCAAACATAACACAGTCTTTGGCAATCTCCTCTATGATGCTTTGAGCACAGGGAACCCCCGTGTAGAAGCCAAGCTCAGTCCTTCTGAGGGCCTTTGTGCCAGCTGTTCATTCTGCTGTGAAAGTTCTTCCCTCAAGATCTTTGCACAACCAGCTCCTCTTGTCACCTCAGGCCTTGGTCTAAAGAGCACCACCTAAGACAGGCCCTTTTTGATCACAGCTTCTTAAGGAAGTGTACCTGGCACCCCAGCATCTTATCTTTCTGTTTTATCTTCTTCATATTACTCATTATTTGGGGGTCTTTTTTGATTATTTGTTTATCTTATCCCCTTAGAAGACAAACTCTCTAAAGCAGGGACCTTTACTGCCTTCCTTCCATAGTACCTATAATATGGCTTGGCTCAAAGTCGTTCTCAACAAAATATCTGTTGGATGTGTATGTTTGGGAAAGACTGGGCTTAAAAACAAATCAAAGTTCAGCAAGTTTCTTGATTATTGTATCTCTATGAAGATGTCAAATGAGAATGTACAAATGAGCACTGTATCTCCTGAGGGAGGAACAGTTATCCAGCATGTTTCAAACATATTAGGCCCACATCCCTGGCTACTATTTCCCAGAACATAAACAGGAGGAGATCGTTTAATCCCACAGATATTTGGGCTCTGATAACCAGACACTTCTAGAACGTTCCATGCTATTCCACCAGTTGAAATTTCACACTGAGGATTTGATATAAAAGGTTAACTGTATTCTTTATTGTACTACCTAATCCCCATCCTCACTTCACCTTTAGGCACCATGGTCTCCATTTCTGTCAAAACCATGAACATTTGCCTGAAAATGTCCATTTATACCAACGTTTTCTTTAGAATGGCTGAGGAAGGGCAGTTTCATTTAAGACAGTATTTCCCAAACTTGGACTACACATTAAAACTCCCAGTGCTCAGACCCTGGGCATTGTTGTACGTGTGTGTGTGTCTGTCTGTCTGTCTGTCTTTACAGGCTCTGCAAGTCAGGGTAATGTGCCTCCAGGGTTGAGGACCTGGTTTAAAGACATTCAACCCTAATCAGACCTTCTTACACTTCTGATTCTATTTTCCTGGGTACCACTAGCAGGTTAACACAAGACCTAATTATGATTTCTTGCAGTGAACAGCTGGGTGATGAATTAGATAACCCTCCAAAAGATCTCACATTTTTTCAAAATTATTATAAGTTCATAGATGGACATAGATGGCACTCTGTGATCTCAGCATTTTATGGGATTGGGAGAAAAGATGCAGGTGACAATGGCAACAGACAGGTAAAGGGGAAGAGGACGTCTGTAAATGGAAGCCCCTCACAGTTTATCTGATCAATTTATGAGCTATTTGAATTTTGAGAATGTAAAGAAGAAATGTAAATTACTTAGTCTGTATAAGTAATAAAAACATCTGAGCACATTCAAAATTTTAAATGATTATTTCTGACAAGGGATGAGGGAAATTGTGAGATGGGGGATATGGGATTTTTACTTAGCACATTTTAGTCATTTCTGAATTTTTTTAATGAGCATGTATTAATTTTATAATAATTAGCAAAATAAAGTAATGCATAGACATGTAAGTGTATACAGCGACAGAATAGGCAGAAATACCACTTAGTAATGCTCTTGGTACCTTAAATAACATTCTAAGGTTAATGTTACTGGGAAAACATGCACCATTACTACTAGTTAAATATATTTAACTGAACAATAATATCTGCATTGTTTTGTTCCACTTGTTGCTAACTTTTAAAACGTAAGATAATAAAGATTCTGCTGTGGAATTCAATATCTAATGGGAATTTTTTTAGAATGTCTGTGAATGAGACAGGGAATTGATGCTATTCACTTTATAAATGCAAAGTCCAATGCATACTAATGTTCCTAATGTAATTCCCTTGCCTAGAAGACTTTTCTCAATTTGCTATGAAAATTTTTTCACATACTCATAATTCATAAAGGAATGCATGAATTTAAATGTCTCATTCTTTTGAAAAAAATAATTTTATTATGAGAATGTGTATGTCTTCCCTTATATTATATATTCTGAACTTTAGTGCTTGTCCAAATTACCTGAGGTGCTGTCACGCACTAAATCTGTGAGAGGGGCCTTAGAAATCCGCATTTCAATGCAGGGCAAGCTGATTTGTGCTCTTGGTCTTCCGCCTGCTCTTTGAACATTCTTCAGGCTTGTGGATAAATCGTGCTGTTTTTGCCCTCCCTATTTTATTTCAAAACTTTTCAGAGAGGGAAAAGATTTTAGGAGAACAGTTGACTAGGGCTAACCTCCAAAGGGAGAAATAAGTAACAAACGTCTTCTGTGCTATCAATCTGAATGTCTTCAACGTGAAAGCTTGTGTCTCAACATCAGACACAGCAGAAATATATATTATGTAGTTTTAATATTCGCCTCAACCCTGTGAAGTATTTTTGTGGCCACCGTAAAACTGAGGATAACAAAAATTATAGAGCTTATGTGCCTAAAACCACGCAGCTAGAAGGTGACAGAGTAAGGATTTAATTCTATACTTTTCTGAATCAAAAGCCCATAATTTAGCTAAACCATCAAAGACCTCTCTCCAACAGAACGTGAAAGCAAACAACTCACCCTAGAGGAAACCTGATATTTTATCTGAGGCTGTTTCTCCCTTTTTCTCATAATTTATATTTAAAATCTTTGACACATCTGAAAGTAATGCAACTTAGATTATTACTAAACTGGGACACAACTCTACCAGTTGACTTTTATAGACAAAAGGATTGTTCTATTAACTTCACATTTTCGCAAAATTACTACAGCTGAAGGAAAATAAAAGACAAATTTTCAAACATCAATAGGACTCCTGCATATAAACGGTAACCTAATAGATGCATAATGTAGAAGAATATGCCATTAGATCATCAAATATATGAAATATCTACAAGTAAAATTAAGGTGATGTGTCTTACGTGATAAAAATCAAGAAGGCTTAATTGTATTTTTCTTTTCTTTGGGACTTGATGATTTTCAAACTCAATGAGATGCTCAAAGATGGTTTAGAAATGTATTCTAACCAAGATAATTTATGGAGTTAATGAATTAAAGTTTTTCACAGGATTTTAAGTATTTTCAAAGTGCTTCTAAAGTTTATGAAAAAGTGTAATAGCATTAACTTCTTTTGCAAATAGTAATTGAGCAACTCATCTATGAACGCCAAGATGCATAAAGGGAGATGGCCACATATGGCAGTTCA